TTTCATATAATGTAATTTTAATATTATATCTCGTCATAATTAAATCTTTCTAAAATCTAATCATATATAATAATAATAATGATAATATGTCTCTAATATTATATCTCGTCATATTATGGTAATGATTTCTATATTCATATACGCGATTCTATCACACATCACACACATTTGTGATTTTTGCAGTACAGTATTGTACTGCACTGAAGTGAAGTGAAGCATGTATATTTTACCATGCACACGTGCTGTCTGCCTGGCCGGCTCCAGTTTGAACGTATAACAACGGCCGAAGAATATTATCTTGGCAGTCAACGGCGACCGACGTTGCAGCGCCATTTGCTCATACATTAGCATAACTGGGAATTGTGGCGCGATGCTGCGAGCAAAGTGAAGCACGTAGATAAGATTTTACTATGCACACGAGATATTACTATCTACGAGATATTTACTTTTTCCGGATGAACGACAACCGGCACCTCGCTGTCTGCCATGTTTGACTCGGGAAAGTGACAAAAGGTGGCGCCAGTGGGCAGTGATCAGATCCGCAAAGGATATTCGCACCGCGGTGCGAATAACGACACATTTGCTGCTATTCGCACCGCGGCGGTGCGAACAAGGACACGTTTGCTACTATTCGCACCGCAGCACCATTTGCTGCTATTCGCACCGCGGCACATTTGCTGCTATTCGCACCGCGGCACATTTGCTAGCAAATGTGCCGCGGTGCGAATAGCGCTATTCGCACCGCGGCACATTTGCTGCTATTCGCACCGCGGCACATTTGCTGCTATTCGCACCGCGGCGGTGCGAACAAGGTGCCGCGGTGCGAATAGCAGCAAACGTGTGTGTCCTTGTTCGCACCGCCGCGGTGCGAATAGCAGCAAATGGTCATCAAATTTTTGTGGTTAATAGTTGTTGAACCTGAACAACTTGAAATAAACTGGGGTATAATATATATATTACCAAGAGCGTATTAAGAATTCTATTATATAATAGATATATATATATATAAGCATATATATTGTCTTATGTAACATACATTGAGTAAACTCATGGTCATGGCTTTGCCTTCTATGTTCTACTGCAATAATCGCGTCAATAACTCTAAGCATGCGAATAGCAGCAAATGTGCCGCGGTGCGAATAGTAGCAAATGACCACAAAAATATTAACGTTACGCTTTTTCCTTTTCTACAGTCCGATCAAATTGACAGGGGATTGGAGTAGAAAAATGTCTAATTTACAATTATCTAGAGAAGAATGAACAGAGCTCTGGTCTGAAATGTTAGAAACAAAACAAAAACTGCATTATACTGTTATGATAATAATTTATGACAGATATCTATGCTGGAATACCCCCTAATCATATTAAATGCATATTTATCGCAAAATATAACTCTTCTGGTGAGATAATGCGCATGCGCTAACACAGTTACGTATATCCAGATTGTGTTCTGACTGGAATATACAGCGGTCACCATACATGCAATATCATCTTCTTATATCTTCAGAGAGGTCGACTGATCGAATGTTATCATATAGATCTATGCTAGAATACCTCCTCTCCATATTAAATGCATAATTTTCGCACAATAACATTCTTCTCGTGAGATATTGCGCATGCGCGAGCACAGTTTCAGGCGTGCAGTACGGACTATAGAAAACTGCATGCATAATATAGCTTGTTGCGAGAGAGGACGAGAGAGAGGGGGAAACTGAGGAAAGGCAGCAGGAAAGATAGCTGAGGGGGTGGTGGAACAAGAATGAGGCTGAGCGAAGGACAATGAGGGAACGGGCAAGGACGGGACGGGGTGAAGTAGGAGTTTTGCACCCTACAGGCTAGGGCACTCTTCAAATTACAAACACAGGCCTACTGATAATAATTTATCATAGATATGTATGCGGAGATACCCCCTAACCATATTAAATGCATATGCATAACAAAATATAACTCCTCTGGTGAGATAATGCTCATGAGCTAACACAGTAACATAGCCAGATTGTGTTCTGACTGGAATATACAGCGGGAACCATACATGCAATATATTCTTCCTATATTTCAAGAGAGGTCTGATGATGGAATGTTATCATATAGATCAATGCTAGAGTAACTCCTCTCCATATTAAATGCATAATTTTTGCAAAATAATATTTTTCTCTGGAGATATTGCGCATGCGCGGGCACCGTTTCAGGCGTGCAGTACGGACTATAGAAATCTACATGCATAATATAGCTTGTTGAAAGAGAGGACGAGAGAGGGGGAGACTCAGGAAAGGCAGCAGGGAAGATAGCTGATGAGTGATGGAACCAGAATGAGACTGAGCGAGGGACAATGGGGCAACGGGCAAAGACGGGATGGGGTCGCTGGCGTTTTGCACACTACAGGTTAGGGAACTCTCCTAATCATAAACACAGGTCTACTGATAATAATTTATGACAGACATCTATGCTGGGATACCCCCTAACCATATTAAATGCATATTCATCGCAAAATATAACTCTTCGGGTGAGATAATGCGCATGCGCTAACATAGTTACGTATATCCAGATTGTGTTCTGACTGGAATATACAGCGGGCACTATACACGCAATATATTCTTTCTATATCATAAGAGAGGTCAGCTGATAGAATGTTATTATGTAGATCTATGCTAGAATCCCTCCTCTCCATATTAAATGTATAATTTTTTCAAAATATTGTTGTTCTCGGGAGATAGTGCGCATACGCGAGCACCGTTTCAGGCACGCAGTACGGACTATAGAAAATTGCATAATATAGCTTGTTGAGAGAGGGAGGGGTGGGAGACTGAGAAAAGCCAACTGGAAAGATAGCTGAGGCGGTGGTGTTAAAAGAATTAGGCTGTACGACGGACAAAGGATGAAAGAAGAAGTGGGCTTCCTGGAGGGGTGAAATAGGAGTTACCCACCTTGCATAGTAAGGCGCTCTCTCAATTTTAAACACAGGTCTACTGATAACAATTTATTGCATAATTCTATACTGAGATACCTTCTAACCATATTGTAATGAAGCGAATTCCGCCACTTTTACTTATTCAAATTTACACAGGTAGATTCGGTGACAGGGACTGGCCTCGTGTGACTAATCAATCACCTGGCTCATTAGCGCCAAGGCAGCGCACTAAAGTAGAACAATAATCTCGCCCCCTCCCTCTCGAAAGTTAAAAAAAAGTGGACGGTCTGACCAACGCGTGACATACTTAGATCACGTGGTATAGCCAGGTTAATTAGAATGAAAGTAGAATAAAAAGAAACGTTTTAAAACAGAAAGACAGAGTCGAGGGAGTCGCCTTCGCTAGATTGTGGGTATGGTTTTGGTGTTGCATTGACTTGTTTGCTTGCTGTGTATTTGTGTGTAAACTACTTTGATATTGTGTTAAGCTACTTTGATATTGTGTTAAATTATTTTGATATTGTGTTAAACTACTTTGATACGATGTAACCTACCCTGTACGGTTTATACTACTGTAGTGTTTATTGTTTAGTTAAGGACCGTGTATCGCCATGCCCCTAGAGAGACTATAATATTTGTGTGTTATTCTGTAGAGTATTAATAGAACTAATTGTTGTACGTTACATCTTGTTTCTGTCGTACGTTATCTACGTTCTCTCTATTAATCGTGCTATCTAATGGTACATCTTACACGCGCCAAAAGTTACGAACCTGTACCCTATACGACACGAGCCGCATTACAATATCAAATGCATATTCATCACAAAATATAATTCCTCTGGTTAGATATTGCGTATGCGCTAACACACTAAGCCAGATTAAGGCTAACACGCTAACACACGTAGCCAGATTAAGATTGTCTACTGACTGGTAAATCTAGCGGGCGCCTTATATGCAAGATCTTCTTCCTATTTCTTAAGACACACACACGCACACATGCACTAACTCATACACGCACGCATGCGCGCGCACTCACTTCTAAAAATACCCCTCTTATATTAGTAAGACAAAAACTGTCCGTGAGAATTTCTTCATCTGGTGAGTGCTGATAATCAGCTATCATCAGAGATTATAAACATATATCAGAGATATTATATTATATTATATTATCAGAGATCATAAACATTATATAATATATATATATATATATATAACACATGCGTGCGATAAAACATCTGCACAGGCCGTTCTTGTCACACGAAATGCGAAAACGTAATTCACGACATAAAACGGTACACAAATAGTCATAATGACGCAAGTAGATCAGGGTCCGATGCATAAGTAATAAACACAGTTAATTCATTCATTTCCTTTTAACTCTAACAGTACATTCGTTCGTAGTTGTATCTGTAATGTCACTACATCCAATATAGTAATCAAACATATTATCTTCTGTATTTGACTAGCGTCCCTCGAGAGAAATATAAGTGGCGCAGTACCAGCTGGTGACTAGCGACCGTTGTACGTGATGTGACGAGGACGAAGGGCGTGTCAGGTCGTAGCAAACATCGCGGGTGAAGGGGTAGCCATTATAAAGTTATATTATTAAATATATATAGTTTGCCGTAACAAAGCGTTCGGGAAATGTATTTGTAACATCAGCGACTGACTATTCATGTTGTTATTTTTGTGATCGATTTCCGTAGACGTGCGATATCTAAAGCTCCAGTATTAAGCGCGAGTAGGAACTTTTCTCCTGCTAATCCACCCCTGGCTGAATATACAAAATATCCGTGTATGGTGACATCATGACGCTGACAAGGTAGTTACTTAGACATTCAGTGTGACGTTTGGTTATCACTGGACGGCAGCTTTCACAATGCTAAGTCTGAATAGGTTATTGCTTATTTTCATAGTGGCTCTGGTCACAGGTAAGTGTTTAACAAAGATTAAAGATAGTTTGAGGTATCGTTTATTTAGGTGAGGTAAACACCATTTTACAATATGTTAGTGTTGTAGCGATGAGATTTGTATAGATTTATGTATAGATTTATGAGATTTAGATAATTTAAATTAGATTATGCACTTACGTATAGCCATATTGAGTAATGTGTGTATGTACATATCGTAACTTTTACGTTCCCAAGCTGTGCTCATGTAAACGTATTCAAGAAACAAATATTTGCGTGTAAAGATTATGAATATATATATATATATATATATATATAGAGAGAGAGAGAGAAGAAGAAGAAGAGAGAGAGAGAGAGAGAGAAGAGAGAGAGAGAGAGAGAGAGAGAGAGAGAGAGAGGAGAAGAGAGAGAGAGAGAGAGAGAGAGAGAGAGAGAGAGAGAGAGAGAGAGAGAGAGAGAGAGAGAGAG